TCAGACACACCATGTGACCTTCAGGAAGTCACATAATCTTTCGGGGTCTCAATTTCCTCATCTTTAAAATGGGGAGGGGGTGTGGATTTAATGGCCTCTAAGGTTTCTTCCATCACTAAATCAATAATAAAGGAAACCCAAATTATTTCAAAGTTAGGAGCAGCAAAGCCCTTCCTGCTGGGTCTACTTCACGTCAAAATTCTTTCCATCGCATTATCTGAACCTTATCTAGGTATGATTTAAGTTTAAATTCTGAGTCAAAATAAAAAAACCTGTCAGACTCATTTTCCTATGGGAGTAGTTCCTAGAGGGCTCAAGGCAGAGAAGTTTACCAGACGAGGAATATATAAAACAAAGGGGCTGTGCTAGACTAGATGGGCCTCTCAAACGCTTTCAAATTCTAAGAGCCTTTGAGTCAGAAGACCTGAACTGACCACCTACGGGATCTGGGCAGTCACTTCATTACACCAAGACTCAGCTTCCTCATCTATAAAATAGGAATAACACCTACCTCCTTCCTGCCCTCCCAGGAATGTTAGGAGGAAGAATGAGAAGACACATGAAAACCCTGTTACTGCAAAGCACCATGTGAAAGTCAGTCACCTGATATGCGGAGTATAAATACTCATGAAGAGAAAAGGTGGCAGCCAGAAAGAGCTGTTTCCTTGCCCAATCATCAGCTTATTCATCAACCATTTGCTAAGGGTCTGTGTTCAGACCGTGTGAGGGATTATCAAAGGGGCAGCAAGACAAGGTCCCCAGTGAGGAAAAGAAGACATAGTTCAGGCCTGCGTAAGTGTGACAGAATTGGGAGCCAAAGGTTGCATGGTCTTTGATTGCCCTCAGCCTCAACCATGGGCAGGGTAATGAAGGGGAAAAGAACATCACTGGGAGTCAGGAAAGCTGGGTTCTAGTCCCACCATTGACGCTGCCTTGTTATGTGACCTCCCTGGGCCTCAGTCTCCTTCTACCAAATAAAAGGGCTGGACTAGGTGCCCTCCAGAGTCCCTGGTGGCTCTCATGATCTTGGCTTTGCTGAAGTAGCTATTTCTAAGGGTGGTGTGGGATGGCACCTAAGAGCTTTCTAACAAGCTCTGGAGACCTCCCATGGGCCATAGGAGCTCTCTGCTCTTGGGTCTCCTAGGGCCAACTCAAACCTCGAAGGAGTAGCCTGGGGAGGAGGGAGGACAAGTAGACACACTCCTCTCTCATTTTCTTCTTGTCTGCCCCAGTTTCTAGTTTCCATCAGCCCTCGTCATTCTCCTAGACATCCCCTCAGGCTTGGCGCCTAACCACCCTTCCTTCCCTTCTCCCTGCCCTAGCTCCCCTCCTCAGTACTTGACCTCTAGACTCCGACAGGAGCCACCCTCTTCCTCCAGTCCTTCCCACCATCCACCTTCCCACTTCCCATAGCCTGTGTAAGCCCAGAGTTTTATCCCAAGCATCTCCCCACCCCAATGCCTTGCTTGGCCCTCTCAACTTAGCCAAGTCCTGCCCTTCTTTCCAGAGATGGCTCAGCTCCTACCTCTCTTCCAGGAAGCCTTCCCTGACTGGTGAACACTCTCTCCCCTGATGTCTTCTTACGGAACTGTCTGTACAAGTCATCTGACACTTTAATATAAGGCAACATGTCGTTTCTGTGTATATGTTCAACTAAATTGATTTAACATTTACTAAATACCTATTATGTATGAGAGGCAACCTGACACCCTGTATCAAGAGTAGGCCTGAGTTAGGAAGACCTGGGTTCAAGTCCCACCCAACACATACTAGCCGTGGGCCCATGGGTGATGAAGGCCACCTCTCAATGCCCCAGGCAGATCTGGGGATGGAGGAGAGCTATTCTGCATTAGTAGAGGGACTGTCCTCCACCAGTGAGCTCATAGGTCCAGTGCACTATGCTAAATAAGCTCCCATTTTCCTTTTATAAGAGCTCATAATCTCAGTCAATAGGAAGAAACTGGTGAAATGCTATCATGTGGATTGTCTGGAGAAATGTTGTTCTAGGTACATACAGATCACCAACATAGACAAAATAAAAAATTGCACTCAGATTCTGGACTTAGAATCCTGAGACCAGAATTCCAGTGTCCTAGCTCTGAGCCTATTTCCTTGGCTGTAAACAACACTTACACCGGCCCTGTACATCCTGAAACATTCTACGAGTTATCTCTTCCGGTTCCCCAACTGGACTGTGAGATCCTAGAAGGTGGAGACTAGGTCCACAGCCTCTTAGGATTTATGCATAGAGATCACAGATTCCCTACCTTGGGCACAAAATAGTTTCTTGCTATCTTTTTAAAAAATCACATAGGGCTTCCTCCAGATTCTCTGGACCCTTCTCACCTAGTCAGCTGTTGGTTACCCTATTTTTACGTCCAAATATGTCTAAACTTTGGTTAAATCACCTTGAACTATTACGCCCAAACCAATGAAATGGGGACAATAAGTATTCTACAGGCAAAGGTAGAGATAGTTCACTTTGATTAAAACAGAGTCTTGAGATTCATCCAAGAAGAGAAGGTGGTTTAATGCAAGGAGCCCCACACTTGGTTTCAGAAGTGCGAGGTTAAAGTTTGGATTTTACTCCTTATTATGTGACCTTGGGCAAGCTCCTCTCTTCTCTAGGTTCCAGTTTTCTCATATAACGACGCTTTTGGATTTCTCAAAGTCTCTCCTGACACTAAATCCCAGAAAGTGCTAAGCTTTCCCTGACAAACCCTGACTGTGCTCTAAGGTGCCTCCTGGCTTGCCTCCATGTGCTATTTGTGCTGCTCTCTGGATGCTCCATGTGTAAGAGGGAGGTGACTTTCTCCCTTCCGCCCGACTGTCCACTCCAAGGCAAGGGCTTCTGCTTCTTCCTGTTTTCCCCCAGCACAATACAGTGCTATGCCCAAAGCAAGCGCTTGATAGAGCTGTTGCATCTGCTATTGTTGAGACTGTTCCAAGATCAGCGGGTTTGGAGCTCGCTTTGCTTCCCAGTTTTGTCCCTCTTCAGGCCTCTGTTCCTCCTTTGCATCCTTTACTTCCACACAAGCTCAGCCCCCACCATCAGTCCTTTCTGTCCCGGGCCCTAGGTTTGACCTCTGCATTGCCTTACTTGCCATTCTTCTTCCCAGGATGCAATTCATATCATCTCCTGAAGCCCCCAGAAGCCTTACCTGGTTCTACTGTTTTTTTTAACTTGCTCCTTGCTCTGCCAGGACTTTAAGTTACACATGTAACATTTTGTTTCCCCTGGACTTTTCCTCATGTTTGAGGCCTCTGCTGCGCAGACCATAAAATGCTAGAGCTGGACAGGACCTTTAAAATCATTTATCTAATGTGACTGTCCCACCTTAAGGATGAGGACTTTAGGGATCAGAAAGGTATGGTGACACTCAGGATCATAAAACTAACTGGGTGCAGAGCCAGGACTAGTATCTATTGCTCCTAACTCCCAGGCTTGGGATTCCTCCCTCCTCATTATCTCTCTGCCCTCAAACTTTCTCTACATTAATTGTTGATCATGACTTAAACATAAATCTAAAATCGTATTAACCATATTTTATGATCACGGTCATCTTACTGAAAACAAATTAAGTAAACCAAGAATAAAATGACCAGTAAGTTTTACAAAATTCCATTGACCACTGCATTTGAAATATCAAGATCTCTAATAAAAAGATCTTCACCATTTATTCCTACAAATCTGCTTTTTTTTTTTTCCCAGCTAGGCAATGGGATTAAGTGACTTGCCCACAGTCACACTGGTAGTAAGTGTTATGTGTCTGAGGCTGGATTTGAACTCAGGTCCTCCAGTACTCTATCTACTGCGCCATCTAGCTGCCCCCCAATCTGTTTTAATGATAGATTCTTGGTTTCCAAACACTCAAAGGCCTTTTTATGCAGAGACCTTAGCTCTGAGTATACAGTTTTATTGTAATTGGAACTCACTTTCCTAAATATCTGAGGCCACTTGCCACAAATTTCTCTTAACTGAGATATGATGCTTCTGGTAATTGAGTTTTGCAGCCAGGAGTTCTGAAGCACAGCTCCATGATTTTTTAAAAAAGAAAATAATCTGATAACTGTTATTTCAATACAATTGGTTTCCTTTATAATCCCATATATTTTATTTTATGCATTAATCATAGTGCTCTGTAGGCTTCATCAGACTGCCAAAGAAAAGGTTAAGAAAGGTTAAGAAACCTTGCTCTAGGTTTCACTACCAACCCTATCACTCACTACCTTGGGAGACCCCTCCCTAGATGTCTTCAAGCAAAGGCTAGATAATCATTTTGAGAGGATAGTCTTGAAAGTATTCTTTTGGGGTATAGGTTGGGTTGGACTAAATGGCTACTAAGATACCTTCCAACTATGAAGACATGAAATACGAAAGGGCATTTTCCCTTCTCAGTTAATCGTTGCATGGGATCCTGATACAGAAGGCATACGTTCTGATACAATACAGCATAACAGAATAGGATTCTACTAATATTTTTCTTTTTCTCTTGGTGTACCAAATGGCAGAAAAGGTCCCAGGACTGAGAGCTGGAAGAGTCCTTAGAGATCACCTACTTCAGTCCCTCTCATTATATGAGTGAGTTGCTGAGGCCCAGAGAGATAAAGTTACAGCGTTCCTCCACCTTGGAAGCAGCCTCAGGAGGTAAATAATAAATTATCACACCCTTGCTCTATGGTAAGGCCTCCAAATGTTACAGTACCAATTGTGATTTTCATCTGAATTAAACAGGGACACAAAAACAGAAAATGATTGTGTGTGAATAAACATCCGGAAAGATTAGTAACAGCTGATCTGGGCTGAGGCGTCAAAACAAAGCTATTATTGTAGAAGACGGACAACTCCAGAACGATGTCTGAAGAAAAGGGGCACGGATCATGCTGAAGTACATGCTAAGTCATTCAGCCAACCCAGAACAACTTTGGGATCCAACTTAAACTGGGCAGCTCTATTCAGCTGAAGTGGTTAAAACCTGGGTAGAAAGAACTCACTGCCATAACAGCACTGTGCAGTTTTATTAACCATTCAAGTACAGTAGTATCTGGAAAGACCGGGACAAAGGTCAGGTTTCAAAAGTGAACAGACAGATATATTCAGCATCTAACAGTTGGAAAGAAGCATACTACAGATTCCTTTCACAAACGTTTTCACAGAGCCAATACAGTACTAGCCATTAACCCAGCACCGAGCATACCGGAATAGAAAAGATGCAACAAGAAAAATAGCTACGTTAGAAAGACTTCAACACTTTAGAAAAAGAGCAAAACACTTGTAGTTTCTCCCCCTTTGCCCCCAAAACAACATCTGTACAGTTTGGATCTACCTATGCAGTTCTACATCAGTTTCTAGAATATTTGTCAGGAGGAATAAAATAAAAGCGACACTGGCCAGTTCAGTCTTTGGATGCTCGGGAGGGGGAGAAGCCAGCTCTTGGCCAGCTAGTCAGCTTCGTTCTCGTCGGTAGGGTCTTTGGACTCTCTGTTCTTCCGCACCTCCTCCATGTGCTTATCCTGGAGAAAACAAGGCAGAGCACACACACACACGCACACATGGCCCATGAAAGGGCCGCCAGTAGACTGGATGTCCCACACCCACCAGCTGGGCTGCAGAGGGCCTTCCTGCCCTAGGTCATTTGCATGCATGCCTTCTAACACCTAAGCTTTCTCCTGCCAGTGTGCAATCACACACCGTACGCGACAGGCTCCTTCTGTTCTTTAAACTAAAACAAAATGAAAGGATTTGCAGAGGTCACTTCCTGGGATGAGCCCCACAAGGTACAGATGGTCATCTACCTCCTCCTTCCACCAAATGAGGGGGTAAAACCCAATTATCCCAGCTCACACATTCTTTCTACGTAGACAATTAACTCAAGTCATGTCGTTAATTCCTCAAAGAGGTGTTGGGCCCAGACCTACCTTCTCCCGCAAGCGTTCCAGCTTAGCAGCCATTTGTGCCTCTCGGTTCTCTTTGTTAGCTTCCATTTTGTGGGTCAGTTTTTCTTCCGCCATTTTACTGAAGTTGTTGTTTTCTTCAATTGCTTTCTGAAGCACTTCCTTCTCATGTTCCCGCTTCTCAGCAAGCTGCTTCAAGACTTCAGCTTCATGGGACTGAAAGAAAATAAGGTCCAGACCTTGAACTCTGAAATGAGCTGGGTAAGTCAGTTAAAATAGACACAGAAGTGTTTGTAAAAAGGCAGAGAGAAGGTTCTCTTCAACACTTCTCAAGCCATCAGCTTAATCTTGCCTACTAAAGAATGAGGTAAAATCTCTGTGGTCATGCTTTTAGATATTAGGTGCAGGGGGAGGGGCGAGGAATGGATTAGGGAAGAGCCAACATTTATATCAGAAAAACGCCCATGTTTGGTCAAAAGTGGTTTTTGTCAAATTATTCCTTAAGTGAACCACTTGAAGCTGGGCTCCACGGAGATATATCTCTAGACTGAGGGTAGTGTAATGTAAACCTGGGCTCTAGATGCAGCTTTGGCAGGGTGACTCAAGTGAGTCATTTCACCTCCTTGAGATTCTTTTTCATCTACAAATGGAGATCATTCTGGAATGTATTATTCCTTAAGATCGTGACAATCAAATGAGAAAAATAGGAGATTAGAATAGATGGCCTCTAAAGTTCCAGTCCTAAACCTATGATCTCGTTTTTTAAAAAGCACTTTGGAATCAAGTACTATATAAATAAAAACTAATGTAGTTATGTGTTTTTTAAAAGGTGAAATGGGACATTGAGTTTTAATGTTAAAAGATCTGGTATTTGGCATCAATACCCAAATACTGCAGAAGACTGGGCTTACTGACAAATGAAAACATTCATACACAAATGCAAGTCACTCTCCCTGCTCAGCATATGGGCCAGGACAGGGGTGGGGAACCTGGGGCCCCAAGGCCACATGTTGCCCTCTAGGTTTTCAAGTTCGGCCCTCTGACTGAATCCAAACTTCACTGTGAAGTCAAAGGGCTAAATATGAGGACCCAGAGGGCCACAGGTTCCCACCCCTGGGCCAGGAGGATTTCTACTCTGCTCTTAGAGAAACAACATTCAGCTACTCCCTAGGCCATTTCCAGCCTTAGAGCCTATATTAGTAGTCTGGATGACAGTTTCTTATACCTATTCAGCAACAGTACATTATTGCTACTACTACCTAGATTTCTATAGCGCTTAGAGATTATGAAAGCATTATATGTATATGTATACATACACACACACACACACATATATATAGTTTCACACATTTGATCCTGCCACCTTTAGTTTACTAAATGTCACCAGTTAGAATCTTATGAAAGACACTTAACCTCTTTGGGCCTCATTTTCTTCATCTGTAAAATGAGAAGGTTGGATAAGATGACTTTTTAAGGCTCTTTCCTGCTCTGATCCTGATTCTAAGCAGTTGATTCAGATTTGAATATGGTAGTTCTAGTTACAAATTCAGTCCTCTTTTGACTATACTACAGCTGCCTTTCTAGTAGATAGCAGGCACTCATCCAGTTCTATTACAACAGAACTGCATTATAACAGCTCATTATTATAGTGATCCATTTGTACTATGAGTCAAGTCACAATGCTCAAAATATCACTGTGCTCAGTATGAGTTTGATCTACCCTGACAGGACTACAAAAGAGGAGCTAGGTAGCTCATTTCAAATCAGAATCCTAATACAGGTGGTTTTATAATGCTTGGTTAATGGCTCAGTACAAATAGTTAGGAAGTCTAGGTTCCAGCTTCAGTTCTGCTATTAACTAGGTGTACGACCCTAGGCAAGTCAGCTAAACTCTATGAAATTATTTTCTCATCTGGAAAATGAGAGTAATGTTGGCACCACACTTGCATGAGGTAGATATCTGATGGCTGGTTTTAAGAACCAAATTAAATAATGTGCCCAGAAGTTCGTAAAAAACAGGAAGAAAACCCTATGGTAAACCTCCTATGACTTGACCACTTAATAGATGACCTTGCAAGTCCCTGAAAACTCAGTTCCTCTGTTTCAAAATAGAACAGGCCAATATCATAAGTCTGAGCTTTCCAAGCACTGAGTTTTATACTATTCTGTGGCCACATGTACAACTGCTACTTGTAAACTGATGGTCAGAAAGAAAAATATAGACAGATCAATGCAAAATACTTTACTTCTGGAAATTTTTGTTGGTTGTTGTTAAGTCATTTCAGTCATGACTGACTGACTCTTCATGGACCCATGTGGGGGTTTTCTTGGCAAAGATACCAGAGTGGTTTGCCATTTCCTTCTCTGGCTCATTTTATAGATGATGAAACTGAGGCAAACAGGGTGAAGTGATTTGCCCAGGGTCATACAACTAGTAAGTGTCTGAGGCTGGATGTGAACTCAGATCTTCCTGACTCCAGATCCAGGCTCTATCCACTGACACCTAGCTGCTCCATACTACTGGGAATACACACATTCAAAGCACAAATACTGCTTAAAGCATATCAGTTATCACTTGGTTAAATGACAGCTTTATTAAATTGTTGCAACTTTCAAAATAAATGCTTAGTTTTTCCCTAAAAGAGCTGCTTGGAGACAATGGAAGAAACTGGCACATTACCAAATAACGTAAGAGATGAACAAGAACTTTTGAAGTCCTTTAATTAGAGCTCAAAATGGGTTTTGATGTGTCCAATACAAATGACAACAATGTTTACCTTGCGTCTTTCTTCTGCAGCTTCTAGTTTCTTCTGAATTTCTTCCAGGGAAAGATCTTTCTTCTTCGGAGGGGAAAGGGGGAATTCTGGGACTGCTTCTTTTGAACGAGGACTAAGTATCAGCTCAAATGCCTGCCCTGAGGCACGCTTCTCTAGTTCTTTCACCTGGATATCTAGACACAGGATGATGATCATGTTTCTAGAGTATTTGGGAAAAGCTGCCAATGTTCTAATTATGATCCTCTAAAGCCCTGAACAATTTAAGGTACTGAATTATGACTGAGCAAATCTGTGCTAACCTTATCAGGCAATAAAGAATTACCAAAACATCTAACCACAAAACATTTTTTCTTTACACTACATTGAAATCCAAACCCCCTTTCACTCTTCCCCTCCAGAATTCAGTGGGCTCTATATTTTGGGGTTAATTCTTGTGGTCAAAGCATCAGTAATTGTTAGTTATTTTCCTTAACAAGATGTTTTGTAGGAGTCCAAATCCCTACTTTGAAGGACGTTAATAACAAACTAAGTGAATTATACGCTTTTAGACCATTCAAGTGTTAGCTTATAATTTCTTTCTGGTTAAACTCCTCCCCCTACCCAAACAAAGGCAAATACATATGGTTAGATCAGCCTTCCACTAAATGCTACAGTGCTTGATTTGGACCCCAGCTATTTCCTAGTCTAAAATTTTAAGCTTATTTTCTTTAATTTCTGTAAGTTTATTATTACATACCAGAAGAAGCCATGGTGAATAGAAGACAAGAGACTGGCAGTGTACTCTAGACAATCCACACGGTGGAGAATATCCTGAAAATTAATTTTTTTTAAAGTACAAAAATCAAGCCCCATGCATTTCAGCACAAAAGGTCTCAGCAAACATTATTCAGGTACCAGGGAGGGAGAAAAAGGCTACTACCATAGCAGAATTAAAACAAGGTATCTTTGGCTACTAAGTCAGATGACCATAATCTATAAAATACTGCAAGACCAAAAGATATGACATAATTGTTAAAATGACATTTTCTAGAGGGCAATATTAATACTGGTAACACAATGGAAGGAAACCATAAGAAAATCATGGGATTTGCTGAACTCGAACCATTCAAAGTAAAAAAAATAAACAACTTTTTTATGAGAACAGGGTAAAATTACACAGATGCAAAAATGTGTTTGGAAATGAATAAAAATTACTCTCTCACACGGGGTGCCCCCCCCCCCACGGGACAAGGGCTAGCTTTAGAAGCATTGTTACAAGAAGAGCGCCTGAGGCACTCCATGTACAATCCATCCATTGTGTAGCAGAGAGATCTACCTCTGCTCTCAGTGTCAGGCCTCGGTGGAAAACAGAGCTCCCATAATAGTAACCCGGAATAACGAATTCCTATTGTTTCTCGGGCACGACAGCAGGCGGGGGCTACAGCTTGGCCAGGGGCCTGCCCGAGGGTCACAAAGACATCGTCACGTCTCTGGTTCGAGGTGCCCCGGGGTCCCACGGCTCCCAGAATCCGGACTGAGCTTTACTCGCTGCATTCGTCGGGACACCGGGACAAGCAGAGGCCAAGAAGGTGACAGCCGGCCCAGGCTACAAGGCCTAACAGCCATCCAGCCACCTGCCCCGGCGAGGGGCGTGGCCCTAGCCCCAGGAGGCCGTGCTCGCCCAATCACCACGCGCCGGGCGCCCAGCCCCCGTGGCCCCGCCCCTTTCCCTCCCCGCGCCTTTTCGAAATCGCCCCGAACGCTCCTCATCCCGGAGCTGGGGAGCGCGCGCACGCGCGCGCTGGAGCTTCAAGATAAAGGAGGGGGCGATGGGCGGAGCTAACGGTCCCATCCGGGGAACTCCGCCCTCCTCGGGCTTTCCCCCCCTCCCGCCAAATCCCCCACCCGTGCTCCCCGCATAGGCGGAGGGTGGGGGGCGTCCCTCAAGTCAGGGTGGGGTCCCCTCCCCCCGCGGGCTGTCCGTCAACGCCCCGGCTCGGGTGGGTGGGGGTCGCAGCCCTCGAGGGGTGGGCGCGGCCCTGGCGGCGCCCGCACAAAGGCCGGGCTGCCCGTCAGTCAAGCAGTCCCGGGTCGGGGCGGGGGTCGACTGCTGACCCCGGGTCCCTCGGACAATGAGGGCCGCGCCCGTCCGCAGGAGGGTCCCCGCCCCCTATTGTCTCCTCCGACCCACTTCCGCACTCCCTACAGGGCCGGGGCCCCGCCCAAGCCGCCGCCGCAGCCGCCGCAGCCCCGGAGTCCCAAGTACCCCCAAGCCTCCGCGAGAAGCTCCGCCAGGCGCAGACACAAAGCAGCGCCCGTCGGACCCCGGACCGTCCCGGCCCCCGCCCCGCTCCACTCCACTCCGCGGGGCCGCCATCCAGCTCAGCGTTAGCCACAGCCGGCCGTCCAGCTCAGCCCACCTCCCCCGCCCTCCAATGCCTGTGCTGCTCCCGCCGCCACTGCGCGGGGCCCCGCACCCACCTGCTCGGTCCGAGCCGCCCGGCCACACTCCGAGCACCAACAGACCGGGGCGCGCACAAAAGCGCCAAACAGCGGCACGTGACCGCCCCGCGGGGCTCCGCATTGGCTGAGCTCGGCGGCACGTGCCGGCCCCCTCCCCTCCCCGCCCTGCTTTTTTCATTCTCCCCCCCTCCATCCTTCCCTCCCTCCTCCCAGCTCCGTCTCTGCCTTACCCTCCCCGCCCTTCTTTTTATTCTCTTCCATCCCTCCCTTACCCTACCCACCCTTTTATTCTCTCCCCACCATCCTTCCCTCCCTCTCTTTCTCCAACTCAGTCCCTCTCTCCTCCCTTTCCTTTTCATTCTCCCTTTCCATCCTTCCTTTACCCACCTGCCCTTCTTTCCATTCCTCCCCTCCATCCTTCCCTCCCTTTCTCTAACTCAGCCCCTACATTCCCTTTCCTTTCCTTCTTTTCATTTTCCCCCTCTGTCCTTCCCTTACCCACCTGCCCTTTTCATTCACTCTTTCCAACCTTCCCCCTCCATTCTCCCCAAACTCCATCCTTACCCTAACTTTCCAGCCCTTTTTATTCTTCCTTATCCTACTCTTTCCATCAACCTTCCATCTCTCCCTTTTCCTCCCTGTTCTTCTTTTCATTCTCCTCTTCCATCTTTTTTAACCTCACCTTCCCTTCTTTGCATTGCTCCCTCCATCTTTCCCTTCCAATTTCCTTCATTCCCCCAAACCTTTTCATTTTCTCCCTCTATTCCTTTCTTTAGTCTGTCCCTCCCTCCCAACCCTTCTTTTTGGTTCTTCACCCTTTCAGCGGTCCCCACCTGTTTTCATTTCCCCCTCCATCCCTCTCTTCCCAACTCCATCTCTTCTTTAACCTTCTCTCACCCGTCTTTTCATTCCCTCATCCCCCCATCCTTTCAATGTTTCCTTCTTACAGCCTTCAGGTATCCTTCCTCTTTACATCCTTCTATGCTTTCCTTCCCCTCTTCTCTCTCTCTACCCTCTTTTTCTCTCCCCTTCCCCATTCATCCTTCCACCTCCCTTTCTCCCCCCACCCCATCCCCTAGCTTCTCAAGAAATGCAGTCCCAGTACATGAATGGGGTGTGGTTCAGGTGTGAAGCTGGAGCTGGGAGCAGTTTCTGGTTGGAAGGGGAGAAGGGCAGTGTTGTAATTATCCTGGCCACAGATTGGGACTGAAGTCTCTGTTCAGTCCTCTGTAATATAGGATGTTCCCTTAGCCCTTACTCAGGTGGTGCAGGGAAAGATCCTGGATTTGAAGTCAGAAGACCCAAGTTCTAATTCTAACTATGTCACTAACTCTGCTGTGTGTCTTTAAGCAAATTACTTAACTTCTCTGGGCCTCAGTTTCCTTATCTGAAGGGGAAGGGGGCAGTGAACTCGATGGGCTGTGAGGTTAGGGCCCTGTAGCTCTGACGTCCTCTCACTGGATCTCACTTAGTTTAAACTTCTGTAAAATGAGGGGTTAGACTAGGTCATCTCTAAGGTCCCTTCCAGCTCTAAATCCCAATCCCTAAAATGAGGCTGTCTGAACACCTAGACCCTTTGGACAGAACGTGCAGCTGGTCAGCCTTCAGCAGCCTACTGTCACCACATTCAGCATACCCCCACAAGCTTGTGACAACAACCAATGTTGACAGCTCCTGACTCCTCCCCCAGCTAGCCAGGGTCACCAGTATTGGTCTTTAGATCCTCAGATCCTCCTGACCCCAGGATTGGGCAGCTTGGGTCCCGGCAGACCTCTCCCTCTTCTGCAATCTCTTAAATCAGCAGATTACCCCCCCCCCCACCCCAGGTTCCTAGTTGTGATGCTGTGGATATGAGGTCCTGCAAGCAGAGGGGCAGCAGTGGTGCCTCAGGAATCTGATCCCCTTTCTGGGCTATGAATGCCCCTCTGGATTTTAGGATGGAGAGACCCCATCTGTTCTGCCAAGCCATTTGCCTGAGGATAGGAAAGGAGGAAGAAATACAGCCCCAGACAACCCATGTAACATTCACATCTCTGTGTTGCTTTTGTTCTGAGGACGTGTGCTTGGGAGATCTGAGCTGAGCTTCTTTTAAGAATCAAAACAAAAGAAACCACAGGGTTGTTCTCCCTGCCTTGGATTGATTCAGTGTCTTCTGATCATAGAAGGAGATTGAACTGACCCTGGGGAATCCTCAGAGGTCCGACTGAGGTCTGATGGCAAAGAGATCGGAGCCAGAAACTGAAACCCAAACAGGTCCTATGGAGACCACCATCCACCCCACCCTCAAGCACTACTGTGTCTTGTGCCTGACAGATTCAGGGAAATCAAATTGTTGCTCTGGGACCATGTTCCAGAACCCTGGGACCAAAGACTGGCTCTCCAGACAGACACAATAACGCTTCCTGAAAAGATTCCCATCCTAGGCAATCACCAGGGAGGCGCAATGGTTAAATGCCAATTAAGAAGCACCCTGGACAATTAGAACCTCACAGCTCCAAGGACAGACTCCTGACACAAAGGAAACAGTCAGTAGGCGCTGTTGCCTGAAATGAGCCCGTGCTGTTCGGAAATATGCTTGTTGCAGCATTTTTTGCAACAATCCACTGTTGAAGGGGTCCACCCATGCAGGGACCACGGCCAGCCACTGTCAGCCAGTCTGCTTGCTTTTCCCATGGCATGTAGGCCCATCAGTAACAGTGCAGCTTCTGAAGTCAGAAAGGGCTCTCCCCTCCCAGATCAAGCTTTACCACCAGGCAATGGCCACAGATATTCCCATCTGCCTGTGGGAAAGCCATACATAATCAATCTGGCTGAGAGGAAGGGAGAGCATTCAAAGGTGACAGCTCGGAAGTCAAGATTAGATTGATAGCTCGAGCTATATCTATCTATCTGTCTATCTACCCATCCATATATATATATATATATATATATATATATATATATACACATACACACATATGAACAGCCCAATATATGCATATATATGTGCACGAACAGTCAAAAGAGAAAAGGATCTGGTTATCCATCGAACCAAACCTTAGGCTTTTGTTACCAGAACAGGGGTTTGCAGTAAGAGATCCACCCCATTGGGTGTATATTTTTTAAAAAACAAGAAATTACTTCACAAAAAAATCCCACATTACCCAGCATTAATGTTGTGACAGCCCAAAAAGTAAATCTTTCACAATACTGATTGTTTTAAAACACTTAAACCACTCCCCTCACCTCTTTTTTTTCCCCCTCCCTGAGCTGGCCTATTTCCATGGAAACCACAGCTAGGAACCGAGTTGTTAGAATTCATGTAGATTTTTTAATCTTTTGTAATGATGCTGCTTGGCTTCTGGGTAGTTCATTAGAGGAATAGGAATTTCCTGTAGTCTTCCGTGTGGTTTTTTTTCTTTGTATTTTGATTCACTGCTGTGACCCACCTCCCCAAGGGTCTTCCTGGAGTGCAGTAAAGGGGGCTTTTAAAACCAGGTAATCCCCGTTCTTTCAGGGACTGTTTTTTGAATGGCACTAAAGGATGTTAACATCTTACCAAGCCCCAGAAACTAGAAGGTTTTCAATTCTAACTAGAGAAAACCAGAAGAAGCCACTTGACTAGTGAACAAGGCAAAAAGGGCCCCCATGAAGCCTTCTTAAAAGCATCAACAGAAAACAAAACCTCTTCTACTAGAAGCAGCCAAGGGGTTAATACTGACATCACAAAAGCATCAAACTTCCCCAAAAAGAATGACCAGATTTGCAGATGGCCTGGAGCTGGTTGGGGGTGGGAGAGGAAAGGAGTGAGGAGGGGGAAGAATGAGAGAATGGGATGACAGAATCAGGGCCCAAAATGAGCTCCAGAAGCCAGAACAAAGGCTGAATCAAAAAAAAAAAAAAAAGGATGAAATTTAACGGGGATAAATGTAAAATGCTACATTTAGGCTCAAAAACTTAATTGTATAAAGTACAAAATAGGGAAGATGTGGCTAGCCCTAGAGTTCTTAACCTTTTTCGTGTCATAGACCTCTATGGCAATCCAGTAAAGCTTAGGGTACCCCTTTCAGGATAATGTTTTTAGATGCATAAAATAAAAATAAGATTACAATGGAAACCAATTATCTTGAAATGCAATTATTAAAATATTTTAGACAACTTCACCAACCCCAGGTTAGGAAGCCCTGGGCTAGACAGAGGTTCAGGTGAAAAGAGATCTAGGTTTTTGTTTTGTTTTGTTTTTAGCAGATTCTAAACAGTATGAATCAAACAGTGAGACAAAACAGCAAAAGGAATAGTGTGGTCTTCGCCTGAATTAATAACAGCATCCAGAAAAGGGAGGTTATAGCCCCTCTTGTTCTTTGTCTCCACCAGACAATATCTAAAGAACTGGGTCCTGTGAGGGTCCACAGTTTTTGAGGGCCTTCCATAAGCTAGGGCTTCTGTAGAGGAGGGCAACCAGGACATTATGGGGACTTGAAGACGTGCCCCAGAAAGATCAGTTTAAGGAAATGGAATATATTGTCTGGAGGGGGGAATACTAAAGGGGAGCATATATAATCACATAAATACTTAATCTGTCTTCAGATAAAGAAGGACCATCTTGAAGAGGGAGCAGACATATTCTACTTAGCTTCAGAGGACAGAACTGGGACCAATTGATACAAGTTCAAGGGAGGCTCATTCCATATAAGGAAGGACTTTCTAATAATTTAAATTCATTGCCAAAATGGGATGAACTGCTTTGATGAGATAGTGAGTTCCTCATCACTGGAAATAGTCAAGCAGAAGCCATATGGAATTTGTCAGAGATATAGAGGGGAAATTCCTGCTTCGGGTAGGGGGTTAGACAAGAAGAACTCTGAGGGCCTTAGCAATTGTAATATTCTGTGATTCCATGAATTAATTTTGTACATTTTCTAATAGCTGGTTGTACTAGGGCTGTGTCTGCACTACAGGAGAAATTCATAGATTCGTAGAAGGTTCATGGATTCACTAAATTGATAGCAGATCCTGAATATGGAATCTTAGAGCTGGAAGAGACTATGGACCAAGAATTATAATTGTCAGAGCTGGGAGGGCCCTTGGAACACAGGATGTCAGAGCTGGGAAGGTCCTTAGAACAC